AGGGCGATTTTCACACCTACGGCACGCCGATCACCATAAGGTGGGCATAATGTGGGCGCGTTTGAAGGTCCCGTTGCAAACCTCCGCCAACGCTAGCAACTATACAATGTGCGTATGTGTTTGATACGTGTTTGCGCGCAGCGGCAACCACGTCGGAGAATTCCGCTTCGTTTAACCACCACAATGCGCCGTTTAAAAATGATGTTAATGATGAGAATAGGGCGGTGCAACGTGCGGTGATCGAACAGCGAATCGCGGCGACGTCCGCCTGTCGTCGCTATGACGCTGCAAATAGTTCACTGTGTGGTAGTTCGTCGCCAGCATAAAGGCCATGTCAACAGTTTACCCAACCTGTGAAAATGTTTCAACATCCGAGCAAAGGTTTCGCGATCCAAGCAAACAAACGCTACCAGTCGTACTCTTGACGGCTAGCATTAGCTTTCACGTCTAACGCGTCCCTTTATACGACGCCCACCAAATTCTGTTTAGACAAGCCGCAGCGCGAACGAACATTTGTGGAACACCTGGCCGAGACAGCGCGCGAGAGAGAACTTATCCTTCTGCTGCGCCGCAAAACCCTTTCTCTCATCGACATTTACTCTGCACCTTAAGTCTTAGAATATTTCCAAAGATGCTCGTCACAATGTCTAGCATTCTTCCGTCGTCGCTCCGTGAATAGCTACGTGGCATAATGTCAGCGCTGGCCGGACCGGGCCGCGGGGCCGCGGCAGCGAATAATTACTCCCGCACAATGACTTCCCCTTGTACGGACAACCAGCCGTAGTTTAGCAACAAAGATGCCATCGAGTCGTCTATTTAGCACTACAAGAGACACAAGACCAGCGCCATTCAGCCGCATGTTTACCCGGCGTTAAGAAGCACTGCAGATTTTCGCGCGCGCGTTCTTTCAGATGCGCATATACGTGGAGTGGAGTTAAGCTCGTTATGTAGATCAGTGGCCACATCGTTTACGCCACACGGCTGTACATGTAGTGTAGAGGCAGCAGTGGCCAGGTGCGCGACCGGTGGCCGCGTACTTACTCCTGATTACTACTGAATTCTCTATATGCTTATTCGAGTACTCTCATGCAGGAACACCGGTTACAGTGATGTGTGTGTGAGGCGTCAGTTCTTAACAGATACCTATTGTAACGGGTTGCTATGACTCCTGCTATGCTATGATCAGGAATAGATAATAGAAGTCTATTCTATTATCTACTCCTGCTATGATGGATAGGATGATCGCGGCAATCGCTGATGATGTTGCAATTTTTTATTGTTGGTGGTCGCTGGTGTATTCCAGCCTGTTCTGCTAGCATCTATGACAAATACGACATACGTATATACGCTCTCCTATGACACTATTTGTCATAGGAAGATTCTTCCTATGACAAATATTGTTGTATGTGTTTTGCGCATCATAGGAGCGCTATTATGAACGCTATTATGAACGCATAGGAGCGCTATTATATGAGCGCTATTATGAACGCAATCATGCAGTGAATTTCAGCTGTAAAGCGGAACGAAGTTGACTCGCCAATGTTTTTCATAGAAATAATCTTCCTATGACAAATAGTGTCATGCGTATATGAGCGTATATGCGTATGTCGTATTTGTCATAGATGCAAGCAGAACATGTTGAAAACAACCGACGTACCGTTCATTTACGTGCCACCTTTTTCACTCGGACTCAAATAGTTTCCTCCTTTTTAACGCGCTTGTTCTTTTCACACGGTAACTAACTGTAAGGTAATGTAAATCATATATGTCTACGTTTATCAAAGCAATTCTCATGGAGAGGGGTGCATGTGTGCAAAGAAATCGAGCCTAGATAAATAAGTTCACCCAACCAGCGCGGCGCACCTTTTTCCCCTTCGTTTCTGTTGTAGTTTTATCGTCTCTTTCCAAATCGCGTGTACGTGTGACATCACTAAATATTTATGGGCATATTATTATTTCAAAGCCTACTAACGTACACACTACGCTGCACTTGTATATATGCGCGCGTATGCAGTTTTGTTGTAATTTCCTCATACGCATCTCCTTCTATAGTAGTAGCGCGTTCTCTCTCTCTCTCTCTCTCTCTCTCTCTCTCTCTCTCTCTCT